TTTAAAAGATATGTATTTATTTGAACAACATAAAATAGGAAAAATTATTTTCTTTTACAAACAAAATATATCTCGAAAATAATGTTTCATATTTATTTAAAAATATTTTACTCTAGGAATATTTAATTTGAATGCAACTTAATAAGAAAAAGTAAAAAAAAATTAAAAGTTTTTTTTTAGATCATAGTAATGAAAAATGAAAATCACTAATAATAATTTGAAATAGGTTTTTATTTTAATTTTAGTTAAGTCATCAAAATGATGTGGCATCCACATCACCTCATTAAAGCTACACAAGCAAAAAAGTCAACGGTTAACCTGTTTAAAAAGTAACAGGTTACCCATTGCTATTATGGGTAGATTTTTTAAAGTACAATGCTTTAATAAAAAAATTTTTGAAAGTACATTACTGTAATAAAGAAAAACAAAAGTAGAATATTATAATAAAAAAAATTATGAAAGTAGGTTGCTATTTCATGCATTTAACCCATTATTAAATTATACTAGAACTTGCTAGCATGATTGTAGCCAACCAAAATATCCCCTTTGAAAATTCAAAATATTCAAACCCAATCACATTCATAATTATCCCACTTAAAAATAGAAATATAAATGTAACCAACTTAAAAAAGAAGATTTTTTTAATTTTTTTTCCCAAACCCATCCTTACTATCTAAATCAGACGAGTTATGTAACAAAAAACAACCAAGACATTTCATTGACTAATATGATTTTATATAGTTAATCAATTATATATATATATATATAGGAAGACTTGAGATCACGTGAAACCAGTCTGTCTTCGTGAAAACAATTTTTTATATTTGAAACTTTATAGCAAAACGTTGTGAAAGTGACATTCACAATGTTTTTGCTGTGAATGTTCGACATTTTTTTGAACTTCACGACGTTTTACTGTAAAAAGTGGTCTCATGGATCTCATGAAAATAGTATGATCTCAAGTGAATCCAACCCTATATATATATATGTATATATATATGTATATATGTATATATATATATATGTATATATATATGTATGGGGGTGAGTTCAAATAAAAACCACACAATTTGTAAAAACCGTGAAAACCTCATTCAACCAAT